AGCGCCGCTGCAGGAGAGGGCAAGGGGCAGCCTGTCTGTCTCCCTCCACTCTGCCCCACAGTCATGGTGACCGATGAAGTCACGGCCAGAGACTTTTTGGAGGAGTATGATAAGAAATCGCTGATATTGTGGAATGAGTATACGGAGGCCAACTGGAACTACAACATCAACATCTCCTCGGAGACCAGCAAGATCCTGGTAGGGGCCGCGCCCACGCTGGTGCAAGAGGGGGGCTCCGAACCCAGGGCAGCCAGGCCTCCCGCCCGCCCCGTGTCACCTCAGTGCGGGGAGGCTGTCAGAATCCTTGAAAAATCCAGGTGGAAAATTTAAAACAAGACTCAGTTCCAGGTTTGGGTGGGCATATACTCACACCCGAACAAGTCGTAGCTCATTAACAATCTGTTGTTAGCGCAGGAGTAATTGTACACAAATAAGTGATGCTAAAGTCAGTTGTTTTAAAAGATTTAAAGTCCCCGTGTGCCACTACAGCGAGGGCTACCCTTCCCTCCAACCCCAGCCTCCACATGCGTGGGGGCGCAGGTCATACCGAGGTGGGCCACAGAGAGCCAGCACCCCTCGAAGACCCGTGTGAGTTGGCTGCTGTCCCCGGCCCTTCACCACTGTTGGTTCACTTATTCCTCCACAGCCTTGCAGAATCAATGCTCTTATTCCCATTTTACAGATGAGACCCTGAGGCTCAGAGAGGCCAGGCACAGCACTAACAGGAAGCTGCCTCCATCCCAGCAGCCTTTAAGATACGGGGTGGGGCCCCCCTTCTCTCCCCTGCCAGGATATGTCTGTGGGCATCTGTGGAGGGGCATGGATTGCACCCGGGACACTAGAGACAGTCCAGGCTGAAGAGGGTCTTTATAGGCAAAGGCATCAACTTGATAAAACTGCTCTCCCTGCCGCCCCCCCGCCCCTCTGGCTCCCCACACAGCACCTCCTCCTCAGAGCCTCTCCAAAGCTCCCAGGCCTCCCAACACGGTTCCCCCTGTGCCCACAGCTGCTGAAGAACCTGCAGGTGGCAAACCACAGTGTCGAGTACGGCACGAAGGCCAGGCATTTTGACATTACCTACTTCCAAAACGCCACCATAAAGCGGATGATACACAAGATTCGGGACCTGGAGCGGGCAGCGCTGCCCCCCGAGGAGCTGGAGCAGGTGTGTGGCTCGGGGGGAGCAGGGAGTGGAGGGTCCAAGGTCAGGACCAGGCTCCAGCTCAGGGAAGCGAGCCCGGTACAGGGTCTGGCCTTCCTCGATTTGTCAAGCCCCGCCATCTGCCGCGTCACATGCGCCTTTGGGAACACGCTCCCCCAGGCCCACAGCCCCCCCACTGGGAAGCCGGGGTGGAGCAGGCAGCAAAGGGGTGCAGCCCGCTGCCTCTCTCCTTCCTCTCGCAGTATAACCAGCTGGTGATGAACATGGAGACCACGTACAGCATCGCCTCTTTGTGCCTCCCCAACGGCACCTGTCTAAACCTAGAGCCCGGTGAGCGCCCCTGGGGAAGAAGAGGGGGGGCGGGGGAGGCTGGGGTTGGCGCAGTGTGAGGGGTGCCTGCCTGTGGAAAGGGGGTTAGGTGCTCCTAACTTGTGGGGTCAGCATGCCCAGGAAACTCACCCCCCTGTTTTCCACCAGTGGGGCTTCCCTGCCACCACTTAGAACCAGCCCCCACGGCCTCTCTGCCCTAATCCGCTGCTCTCCCGTGGCTCCGCCCATCGCTCCCTCCAGGACCCCTCCAAGATCTCGCATGCTCTCCTTCCTCCCTGCACTCTGCCCTTCAGAGCAGGGGGTCTCTCAAATTCGCCTTTCCAGGGCTTGGACTCCCAGGCCTCCACATTGGGTCGGAGCTCCAGACACTTCCCCTCTATGCCCCTTTCTTGATCTTTTCCATGACTTCCCCACCTTCTCTGGCACCTCCCTTGCCCCCCAGAAACTGAAGCTACAACCCTAGAAACCACTTCCGTGGTCCACTCCCTCGACTGCCACTTCCTGCTGGAAAGAGTGGACTGGCTGTTGCTTGCCCCCTTTCTTTTGCCACACTGGCAGGTCCTTCTTACCTTCTCCCCTTTGAAACAGCTCACCCTGGGCACCCAAGTACCTACACACCCCCTCCTCCCTCCCAACCCACTCTTCCCAGGGTTTCCGAGCCAGAGGCTTAAACATTCTTTCTAAGGAATCTCCACCCAGAAACAGCCTCTTCCTAGCCCTCTGCCCAACTCCCACGTTAGAACAATGACAAATAGAAGGGGAAATGGAAAATAAACAGGGGAGAGAAACAGCTTTTGTGGGACAGGGTCTGGCCTACGGGTTGTGTATGTGGGTAGGCACGCAAAGCGTTGGGGGGGCATGCGCCGTGTGTGCATGTGCACGCGTGTGATGTGCGTGTGGACGTGTATGTGTCTGCATGTGTTTACGGAGAAGAGCTTTAACAGGAATGTAGCCCTCATTTCCCCTCCCCCACATCAATTAGCCTCTTAATCCAGGGCTAGGCCATCAGGTCACTGCCAGCAGTAAAAATACAAAACAGCCACAGACACAAAAACTCACATCGGCAGGGGGCAGATGTGAAATTCTCAAAATACAATTTCTTCCAAACAAAATGAACCTGAATGCACTTTCTCAGTGAGAAGTAGTTATTATGTAGCAGGTCAGATAATGCGGTGTGGACAGCCCCTGATGCTGTCTAAAGTCATCTGGCTGGGGATGGGCAGGAAGGGAAGCCGACGTCGGTCTGAGTGGGGCTTCAGAACTGACACGCAAGCTCTCGCCATCCTCAGCCCAGCTCTGTGGCATGGATGTCAGCTCCTTGCAGTCCATATCGATGAGTCACACGTAGTCAGTGGCTTTGACAGGACCCAAACCCAGGATTTCTGGCTCCCTGATGATGCTATTATTTTATCCAATCCAGTCTGACTACAGTTTGTGAAAGATGCCCTGAGCTCTGTAGGGACCCAGAAATGAATGAGGGACACTCCCTGCTCAGGGGCCTCACGTTCCCATTTGATTTTTGACCAGCATTATCCCCACTTTATGGGTAGGAAAGAGGGGTCCCATGACTTGCAGGGCAATTTGGGGTCAGTGAGAGACAAGAACAAGAACTCAGGTCTTTTGGCCTCCAGGCCATTTCCCCCAGGCAGGGGCTGAGCAGCAGCTCTGCAGTCTGGGCCTTTGGATTGTGCCCCAGCTCAGCCACTTCCTGGCTGGGGACCCAGCCATGTCACCTAACTGCTCATGTGAAAACAAGCACAGCGAAACCCTGCGGTTGCCTGTATGGTGTCCATGCAGCGCCAGGCCCCTGGTCTGGAACCGTGGGCCCCTTAGAGAGGGCAGCACCCCGTCTCCCACTTCCCTAGCCTTGCTGCCTGTGCAGTTTTAGTCTCGCTCTGAAGTCCTGTGGCTGAATTCACCTAGAAGGAGGTGAGAGGTGGGCTGAGGGGGGGGCGCTCAAGCCTGAAACCCCCTACACCCCCAGATCTGATAAACCTGATGGCCACATCCCGGAATTATGAAGAACTGTTATGGGCATGGAAGGGCTGGCGAGACAAGGTGGGAAGAACCATCCTCCTTTCTTTCCCCAAATATGTGGAGCTCTCCAACAAGGCTGCCCGGCTCAATGGTAAGTCCCTCCTGCCAATGTCACTGGCTCTGGTCCCAGCCCCCCTGGGGCCCTCAGAGAGGTCCTCAGAGACCCTAAGCCCAATGAGACGGCTGTCCCTGGAGGAGGTGGTGGCGATGGGGAGTGCTCAGGAGACGGCCAGGTATTCAGAGAGCCTGTTGTGCCCCTCTGCAGGCTACGTAGACATAGGGGACTCGTGGAGATCTACGTACGAGATGCCAACCCTGGAACAAGAACTGGAGGAGCTCTTCCAGGAGCTGCAGCCACTCTACCTGAACCTGCACGCCTACGTGCGCCGGGCGCTGCACCGCCACTACGGGCCCCTGCACATCAACCTGGAGGGCCCCATTCCCGCTCATCTGTTGGGTGAGGGCAGGCGCTGCGCCTTCTAGAGGAGATGAAGACAGATGCCAGTGTGAGGGAGGGTGGCGCCAGGGCTGGCCAGAGAGCAGAGGGCAGGCGGGGAGGGTCTACAGATGGCACTGCGGGCTGGCAGAGTGAAAAGACTTGAGCCTGGAGGGAATGTTGCCAGTGCTGCAGTGGGTGGGGGCTGGGGGTGGGGAGAAGAGCCCCTGCTTGCCCTTGGTGCTCCATTTGCTACAGATACACGTGGTGCAGGTCACCATGGATGGGACAGTGGGGGGCAGTTCATAATCTTGCCATGGGGAGCCCACATCACCCATCACAGCTCAAGACAGCAGGATACAGAGGGTGAGGAAGGGGCTGTGGGTAGGAGCTGAGGCGCATCCAAGAGATGGCATGTGAGTGAAGCCATGAAAGATGAGAGGTTCTGATAGGTGGAGAAAGTAGTGGCAGGGAGGGGAAGAGCAGACACAGCTTTCAGCCTAAGGAAGTTAGGAGACCAGAGAAGAGCCTTGAGAGTGTAGATGTACCTCAGTGTTTGCGCCTTCTTTTCCAGGGGTTGTAAATCCAAATGCCCTGAAGACATGCAGTAGGCAGTGGAAGATGATAAGGGATGGTAGGGACCGGAACCGAGTAGAGGCCAGCTACTGTTGGGCCGTTGGGAACATGTTACTGTGAGCAGAAAGGCCAGATGGGGCCACAGACTATTTACAAGTCATGAGAGAGAACCCAAAAACTGGTCTGGTTTGGGGTCTAGTTCCCACTCAACCTGAAGGGTCTCTGCCACCCAAGAGGCCTGTCCTTGATCCCTCTCTGATGAGACCGAAGAACATCAGAGTAGACAGACATTAGCTTGATGACTGAGAAACACAAACCCTGGGAAGGGAAGCAATATGCCTGGTGGCCCTGGGC